GGGGGGTACAGCGAGGGGGCGTCGAATGTGGGAGGGTGCACAGGCAGAGCGGGGAGAGGAGGGACTGGGGGGACCCCGGAGGGCTGGGGAGTGTTCCTGGGTATGGAGGACGCCCCCAAATATGGGAGGCTCAAGAGGTATGAGGTGCGCCTGGAGGATGGGGGGGTTCCCAAAAGTGTGGAGTGTCCCCAGGGCCATGGGGTGCTCCTGCTGTATGCCAGTCCCCAAAAGCGTGAGGCACCCCCAGGCATATGAGTGTACCCCAGGAAGTTGTGGGTGCGCCCCAGAGCACGGGGGTCTGCACAAGAATGGGGTGTTCCAGGAGTATGGGGGTGCCCACAAGGGATAGGGGTATCCTGCAAACTGGATGATCCCAGGGTTATGGGGCCCCAAAAGTGTGGGGTGCCCCCCAGAAAGGTCACCCCAGGGGGGCTGTGGGGATGCTCAAAACTTTGGAGCTCTCCCCAGGGAATAGGAGTGTCCTTGGTTCTGTGGTGATATCCCAGGGGTAAGGCGATGCCCTACAACTGCATGGGTTCCCTCAGGAAAGAGAGTGCATCAAAAGTGTGGGATACCCCTCAAACAGGCACCCCAAAGCTGTGGGGACTGGGGTGCCTCGAGGGTTTGAGGGTGCCCCAGAATGATGTGGAGCTCAGGGGGTGCCCAGGGGTGCATGCTTTCTCCAAAAGCAATAAGGGTGCTCAGAGGAGTGAGGGTGCCCCAAGTGCGTGGGGAGCACCACAGCCAGCCAGAGTGGATCCCCCCAAATCTGCAGGACTGCTGTGGGGGCACAGCTCTGCCTGGCAGCATGGCTCAACTGCTTGGCACAGCACGACCAAGGCAGGAGGGACACAAGGCTCTGCTCTGGGGTGGTACCCCGCAGTACCAGTCAGTGGGGGACAAGCCAGCCCTACACTGTCCCTGTGCTCCCCAAAACCCCAGCGCCAATCTCCGCTCTATCAATGGGGAAACTGAGGCAGGGAGCTCTGACCTGCCTGCCAAACCCCACCAGGACCCGGGGAACATCCACTGTCCCGGGGGAGCTCGAAGGGGAGCCCTACATCCATTGGGGGCCAGGCTGGAGACCCCCAGGGTGCTTCATGGGACACCCTGGGGCAGGAGGGTAGTGGGGGCCTGCAGATTCCCCCCCGTGGCTGTGGGGAAGGCATCCCAGGGGCACTGGGGAAGGGTCATTTCTGGCTGCCACTTCCCCTTCACACTGGAAGAAGGTTTTGCAACCTCGCTTCCTCCCCGGGCAGCATAAAGCGGGGGTGGTGGAGGGAAGAGGTGCCGGGAGGCAGCACAGCAGTGGGTGCAGGTAAGAAACCCTCTGACTGGCCTGGTGGGACCCCTGGGCCTGGCACTGCCACGCTCCGCACCCTTGGGGGTGACACCTGCATTTGTCCCTGTGCCCAGGTACTCCCTAGTGAGAACCAGCTTGGGACGGAGCGAAGACCCCAGATTTGGGGGACCATCAAGGCCAGTAAGTGGTGAGACCTCAGGGTACTCCACTGGAGACCAGGCCTTTCCTCGGACTTTGCCACCCCCTCCCTCCGCACCCAGCTGAGCCCCCTTGCACCCGGAGTGGGCTGGGCTGGGGGTTGGGGTGGACTGCTCTGGGTGCCTAAGGGGCTGCCTGGTGCAGGGGGAGCAGGAGGCAGTGGGTGGGGACACCCAGGGCTGTGCTTGGGGCTCATCTGGGGTGCAAACCCCCTGGTGTCCCCAGGGGCATCCGGCCATGAGTGCCTTGGGGGGAAAGTGCCCACTCCCATTTCCTTGCGGGACACTTCCTCATGGTGTGTCCCTCTTTCCTCTTCCAGGGCCACCCCAATGTTTCCCAGCCCACCCAGGGTCAGGAGGGGAAATGGGGTGCTGCTTGCTCCCCCAGCCGGCCTGGTTGCAGGGTACCCAAGGGTGGGGGATACCTGGCCCTGGAGGAACTGCTGTGATTTTGGAGTGTGGAGGCAGAAGCAGCAGTCAAAAATAGATGGAGGGGAAGCACTGATGTCCGGCTCTGTCCCGTGCCCATGGTGGCTCTGCTTGGGGGAACCTTTCCCCATTGGCAATGTCCCTGGCCACCGTCTTCCAGGATGCCAAGGCATCGCCACCCTGGGATCGCTGCAGGAGTGGGGTGGCAGAGCTAGGGAGGGTTTTTTCCGGGTAGGGGCACGGCCCAGCTGCAGCAGGGAATCCCCACCAAGCCGAAGGGGAAAGTTGCTCCCAGGGAGAGTTTGGTTTGAAACGGGGCCAGCTCAGGGCTGGGGACTCCCCAGCACTCTGGAGTCTCAGCACCCCCAAGCAGCCCTGGTGTCGCCAAGCCCTGGAGGGGCTCGGGGGCTTGAAAATGGGACAGAGGGGTGAAGCTGGAATGAAGCAGGAGTCTGGGTCCATACCAGGAGAAATCTGAAAGCCAGTGGTCTTTGGGGAGGCAGGGACAGAACAAGGAGGTGGTGTCCTACACGTGAGGAGACAGGAAAAGCGACTGTCACCTGTGATTTCCCCATTGCGGCTGAACACGGGGGACATGGGGATGCCTGGCAGTGCCCAGCTGAGCAACAGGAAAACCAGAGACGTGAAGTATTTCTAAAGCCACCGCAAAGGGTGACATGTCTTTCCGTCTGGGGGATGAAACCACTCACGCAGGGACAAGGAGCAGGGGGAAGAAGGGCATGAAACCTCCTTCAGACCCTGTCTGCCCTGGGCACTGTGACCACAGCCTTGCCACTGGCTGAGGTGGCAGGAGGGGCAGCACCAGCAGCAATGCTTAAGAGGCTAGAGGGATCTAGAGATACTGGAAGGGATTTTGAGCTGCCTGAAGGGCCTTGAGATGCCCAAAGAGCTCAGAGGCTTTTGAAGGACACACACAGACCAGGAGGAGCCAGTGATGCTGGAGAGGCCAGGTGTCTCCAGGGGGGATGTGGTGTTGCATTGATGGGGAAGTTCCTCAGCCCGAAAAGAGGTGGCTGATCTGTGGGCAAACCCTTTCCTCCATGGGAAGGGACAGAGTTGAGGTGAGGTGGAGCAGACTGAGGGGTGCTGGAGGTGTTGTACAAGGGAATGTGTGAGGGACAGCATCCACCTGCACTGCCCTCCACCTGGCACAGTGTGGATACATTGGAGTGATGGAGGGGGCTGCCCACTGCATGGGAGGGGAGCTGGGAGGGCAATGGAGATGCCAGGGGACACAGGGGCTGTCACCCTGGCCCACAACACCCTCCCACCCCACACTCATGTTGGTCTGTGCTCCACAGGCAAAATGGATTCCTTCTCCTTCAATGGGGATCTCTCCAACCTCTTTTCCCTCTACAACTACACTTACGACTACAGCACAGCCTTGCCCGATACTGCTATCTCCTCTGCCCCATGCCGGCCTGATGGCTCTGTCCTCAACAAGTATCTGGTGGTGATAATCTACTGCATCGTCTTCATCCTCAGTGTGGTGGGGAACGGGCTGGTGGTGCTGGTGGGGACCTCCAGCCACACCAACCGCTCCGTCACTGACGTTTACCTGCTCAACCTGGCCGTGGCGGACCTGCTCTTTGCCCTCAGCCTGCCACTCTGGGCTGCCTACCGAGCCCATGAGTGGGTTTTCGGCACCGTGATGTGCAAAGCCATCTCTGTGCTGCAGGAGGCCAACTTCTACAGCGGCATCCTGCTGCTGGCCTGCATCAGCGTGGACCGCTACCTGGCCATCGTCTATGCCACCCGAGCTGCCACCAAGAAGAGGCACTGGGTGAAGTTTGTCTGCTTGGGCATCTGGGTCTTTTCCGTGCTGCTCTCCCTGCCCGTGCTGCTCTTCCGTGAGGCTTTCCCCTCGCCCAGCAATGGCACCGTGTGCTACGAGCGCATCGGCGGTGAGGACACTGGTGGTGCTGCGGATCCTGCCACAGACCTTCGGCTTTGCCCTGCCCCTCCTGGTGATGCTCTTCTGCTACGGTGTCACCATCCACACCCTCCTGCAGACCAAGAACTCCCAGAAGCAGCGGGCCATGAAGGTCATCTTTGCTGTGGTGCTGGTCTTCCTCATCTGCTGGCTGCCCTACAACATCACGTTGGTGAGCGACACCCTCATGAGGACACGGGCCATCGCTGAGACCTGTGAGAGGAGGAACCGCATCGACACAGCCCTCTCTGTCACGCAGGTCCTGGGCTTTGCCCACAGCTGCATCAACCCCATAATCTACGCCTTCATTGGGCAAAAGTTTCGTAACAGCTTCCTCAAGATCCTGGCACAGCGCGGGCTCATCAGCAAGGACGCCGTGGCCCGCTATGGCCGCACCTCCTACACCTCCACGTCTGGCAACACCTCCACCACCCTCTGAGCCCTACTGGGACACGACCTTTGTGGCTCTCAGCAGGTTCTGGCACCCCACCACCACTGTATCCTCATCCAGCCTCCCGGGATGTAGGCACTGATGCCATGGGCATGGGCAGGGCCACCACTGGATGCTGGACTCCAACTGGAAGGAGGCTTGGGCGGCAAGGTGGTAGGGCCCCATTGCCAGGGGAGTGATGCCAAGCGCTGCCCACCCTCTTTGCTTTTTGGGGTAAGCCTGTGACTTCGGGGACTCCACGCCCATACTGTGGGGACAGTGTTTGTGGCCAACAGCCATCGAGCAATAAAGGAGTTGGTTGGTTGGTCAATCAGGTCTGTGTTCTCTTTCCATGGGGAAGGAGATGGTGGGGATGGGGCCAGGGCACATCTCCGGGGATGGTGGGTCCTGGGCTCCCCACCTCACTGCCAAAGCGGTGGTGCCAGCTGAGCCTGGTAGGGTGTGGGTAACCCCACTTCCAGGCCAGGAAAGGGCTGCTGCCCAAGAGACTGTTGCAGAGGGTTTGGCATCCTGTGCATCCCTAGAGATCCAAACCCAGGTCTTGCTCCCTGCAGCCACCCAGCCATGTCCTGGCACTTCCCTGGTGTGGAGGTCTCTATGCAGTGTCTGTCTCACCTGGGGACAAAGCCACCCCCTTCCCAACCCTGATCCAAGCCCCAGTGGAGCAAATCACTGCAAGATCCCTGGGCATCCCCTCTCTGACACCAGCCAGCCCTGTGATCTGAAGGGTGCCAGCACCTGGGGCACCCCCTGCCCCCATGGTGCCAGAACATCATTGTGCAAGGAGCTGGGAACCTGTCCCTTACACAACCAGGACATTTCCGCCCCAACTTGGGCAACTGGGGCTGGCACCAGAGTGGGGCAGAGGGGCTGAAGAGGGGGACGTGACTCTGTTGGGGTCCCCGCTGCCACCCTGTGTGCCAGGTATTGGGGTGTCTGCCCCAGCGCAATACAAGCATCTCTCCATGGGGGTCCTGTACTGGTCCTTCATGCCCCCCTGATTCAATCTTCTGGGAGTCTTTAACCATGGAGGCATCAGTGGGTGCTAGATGGGGACTGGCTCACTGGTGGGTGCAGGGGTCCTCTGGCACCCAGGCAGGGTGCCCTGGGGACTCAGGGCTGGGCAGGCTCAGCAGGGGGTTGGGGAGGGTCAGCCCATCACCTTTGCATCTAGGAAACCTCTTGCCCAAGTGGTTTCTCACAGCCTGGCAGGAAGCCGGGGCTGTTGGCTAAGAGCTGTCTCCCCTGCCCATCGCTGTCTCCTCACTGTGGGACAGGGCAGACGATGGCTCAGTCTGGCTGCAACTGGGACATTCCTTATGGGGATGGTTACCCCCAGGAGGGCTCAGACACCCCCATACCGGCATCCCCCCACCCTTCAACCAGCCTGGGGGTCAATCCGGTGACAACCGATAGACGAGACGGGAGCCACAGAGGTAGCAGGAGTGGGTTGTTTTCCTCTCTGTGGACCAGCCACAAGAAAGACGCATCCCAAAACCAAATGCCTGGGTACCCGGTAAGTCCTGGAGGAGGCAGCCAGGACTGGGGGTGTCCCAGGACGGTGCAAGGGCTGTGGCTCATGTAGCCTGTGGGTGCCTTTGCTGGTAGCAAAGCAGGCAGCAGCGCCCCTGCTTGCCCACATCACCGGAGCACGCGGGGCCCACCCTGCCGCGGGCTCAACAGCT